TCTGCCAGTAAATCGTAATTATCGGCGACTATTTCGGCCGATGATCGGGAGTCGAGTCGTTTGTGTTCCATTTTTGTGTTTAGAAGGATTTAGGGTCTTGAATTTATTTTTTCCAGAACGATAAAAGGATTTTAAAATTTAATTATGTGTTTTTATTTGTTCACGATGACTTATGACTATCGATATAGTCGGGTTTATATAGAGGTGGTTGGTAATTTCGTATGTTTTTTAAGTATGAAATTTTTCGAATTCGCAATTTCATTCGAGCCCGGGCAAAGTGAATATTTCGATAATTTTTGAAGAAAATTTTCCTTTTGAGCGGGCATTTTTCCTTTGGGGTTGGCGCCGAGTTTCCCTGCGTCGGTCTCACGCGCGACGACAATACTTAATATGCTCGGGAGAAGTTTTGGAATTTGTTTCAAATCTAATTTGGATAGTGTATCAATCGTAACCGAGTTCGAATCGACTTCGAGCTATTACTGAATTGCAAATGTGATTGAATGTGGATTTTTTTCCTTAATGTTTTTTGATAATGTATCTGAAACATCGAATTTGAGTATTTATTTGCCTGATTTATTTCCTAATTTGAGTAAAGAAAGGATGAGCAACTTGAGACATGTTTGATGCGCAAATACCTTTAGTCTTTGACTTTGGTCACATTAAGGTAAAAAAATAAAAAAAAAAAAAGGATAAAAAAAGATGAAATAAATCCAGTGATTGGGAAATGAATTCCGTTTATTACTCCCGCTCAGGACCAAATGGAGAAATTGTTAAATTAAAGGCACAATGGGGGGACATTATTGGAGGAAAATGGAATTTCTTTAGGGTGCTATTGGATAGAATTTTCGTGTCAGAGATAGAAATTGGATTTAAAAAATGGAATTTCTTCAGGGTGCTATTGGATAAAAATAAAAATCAACTAGTATATTTACAAATAAAAGTACTATTCATTCACGTAACAAATAATTATCAATCAATATCCAAATAATTTTTATACCCATCAATTTGACTGAATTACATTTTTATTTTATATCTATTCATGATGTAAAATATATCTCATTCTTATGATTTTCTTTAACAAAAATCAACCCTTTACTACTTCACTGGCAAGATAAAATTTTCCCAAAAAACGATGTAATCGTTTCGGATTTTGAGTGACATTTTGTTATTTTAGACTTTTTAAGATTTTTAGATATAGAAAAAAATCTATAAAATCTTACGTATGGAGATGAAATTTGGAGCGAGATTTCGTATATAATTTTTTCTTTTGAAATCTCAACAAACCTTAAAATATCCTAACAAATTTTATGGAGTGTATTCAATTTGGATTTCTAAATACTTTTTAAGACTTTGAAAATCATGGTATATTCGATTTAGATTTGTTAGGACTTTTAAAAGTCTTGGAGTATTCAATTGAAATTTTAAAAAGTCTTGTAAAATCCTGAGGTATTTAGTTTATTTGAACTAAGATTTTATTAAAACTTTTTAAGACTTGGTGAGATTATAAAGAAGAAACCTTATAGAAATCTCACTTCAAATCCCATCTCTAAACTTAAGATTTCACAAAATTCTTCCAAAATCTGAAAATCTTAAAAGTCTCAAATCTTAAAAAGTCTCAAAATGTCACTTGAAATTCCATTTGATATTCGTCTCAAATAAGTTAAATATCTCATGATTTTGTAAGACTTAAATTCTCAAATAAATACCTTGATATTTTAAAAAATCTTAGAAAGTCTTAAAACATCTAAGTTAAATATACTGGGATTTCTAAAATCGTTAAAGCCTTTAGGGGTTGCCTGGATATAAGTTTTTCTTTCCTTTTTTTTTATTGAATTTTTCATTTAACCAGATTTAATTTTGAAAAAGTTGGTAGAGTTAGGTTTGGGTGATATTTTGAGTTTGTATTAAAATAATATTTAAAATAAAATATAAAAGTCGATTTGATGTAAAAGCATGCGAGATGTGATTAAATACGATAAGTAATAAAAATTATGTGAATGGATAATAGTGAATTAAAGGTGATGTGACGTGTGAGGATAACTTATTGATATTATTTAATTATATTAATAATATTGAGAAAATTTGTGTTGAGTTAAATTTGAGTTATATTGTGAGGTTTTTTTTTAGAAAAAAATGATTATTGAAAAATGATTGATTGAATTTGTATCCAAACGTGTATTTAGAAATCTCAAACGAATAGACCCCATAATATCACATAATGGTCACCCAAATTCTAAGGATACTGACTTTTATTGTCAATCTGAGCAATCCAATTTTTGTACCAAGATTACCTATCGATTCTACCAGAGGATTATAATATCAGATATTGTTACAAAATGGGTGTTGGAATACACGAGAATCCTACAACTTGATGTGTATTTATCAGTTCTTACAATTGAATTAAAAATTGGGAAATTTCAATAGAAATGAAATGAAATTACAGTTTGAAGAAACGAAAAGATTATAGCCGAGACGAGTAAACTCTTTCGGCAAGACGAATATGTTAGCGTTATATACTGAAAGCTTGACTTTGGATGATATTACACTTTCACCCTTTATGAATGAGAATCATGTTAGATTAAACAAGTTCTATGTTCTGTTGTTTGCATTTAGATAGAATGGGTCGTCATCGGGCGAACAGAAGATCATTCTATCAATTACTTGCGAAACAAGAATTGTGGTTCACAACCTAGATAGAAATGAACACCCCATCCGAACGGTTGTAGTGTCAATGGTACAATTGGTCTTAACTGATTAGTTGCACTAGTACATTTATGTATTGAACAGGATCCCAGAGAGGAGAAGTTCGTTTTATACTGATCGTCATAAATGAACTAGGCCTCGGTTAATTACTGCGTTCTCTTAACTCGCAAGATATTAAACAGGCATATATATGCAGTACATATTACTTTGATTCACTTGGGTGAGGTTCAGTTCGCTGGATTAATATTCCTACTGTCTTGGGTAATAATGTTGTATGTATGATGTGCTGTTAGGATATTTACGGTCACCATGAACGTTTAGTTTGATGATGTCCCCGAAGTGAGTTCATGAAGGATTGTTATGCTAAACCCTATAGGTGGATTAAGTTCCGCCATAATAATAATGTGATGAACGAGCGCTAGCTTCGGTGAAATAGTAATATATTAATTAATTCTTCATTATCAGTAATCGAATTAATTAATGAACATTATATCTTTAACATGGGGAGGTAATTCCAGTAATTATTATTGAAGTCTCAAATGTAATTTAGGATAGGAAAAGGGAGTGCAATAATACTATGTTAGTGGATCATAATATTATTTAAGTAATTGGAAAAGTAGGCTTGTCTCACAGTTAGTTCAATACTTAAGAAGCCCTATTCTTGTTCTCCTAAGAATCCCTAATGTAGCTCTATATATACATCATTAAGCTCATGAAATAGACACAGAAGAGATCAGAACTCTCCTAACGTGTAATATACACGCTGCTCTCTTCTCTCTCTCTAGAATTCCGTTCGATCTTTTTCTTCTTCTTGTTGTTCCACCGATATAAGCTGAAGAGGTGTTTTGAGTAATACAGACAGTAGAAGATCCCGAGGTAACCGAGACACCGTGATCATCTACTGGAGCCAACGAGCCACGACCCGAAGCCGTGACCCGCTGACTCCCGCCGACCGGATGACCGCCGCGACCAGCCCGTAACCCGCGATGGACCGCCGACGACCACCGCAGCCCCGCGATGCCGTGATCCCGCCACCTCCTCTATCCCGGGTTCTCCGATTGCTGCTCTCGGTCAATCCGAATCAGTCAGATTCAAAAAATATTAAGCCGTAAGTTTTCTACGTCAAACCTTTAGATCCGGTGTTCATAGGTTTACTTTTGATATTGAATTCGTGACTTGTACACAACGAAATCCTCATAGATCCCAACAGTTGATGAAAAGGAGGTCGAGGAGGAATTAGATGTGGAAACGGATTTCGGGAAGAACAAAGTGATGACCGAGGAAAAAGGGAAGGAGAAATCGAAGACGGATGCACGTGAGGCTTTACATAAGATGGCTACACCTTATCGACCACCGGTCCCTTATCCGAGTCGTCTACAAGATACAAAGAAGGATTGTCAATTCAAAGATCTTTTTGATATGCTCTCGAAGGTGAATGTGAATCTCCCCTTACTAGACGTTATTCGAAACATACCGGCGTATGTGAAATTCTTTAAGGACTTAGCATTGAAGAAGAGGAGGTTCGAAGATAACGAGAAAGTAAAGATTCCCAAGGTAGCCTCTACCACTATATCTCGGAAAGAGTGCGATCCGGTAGACTTCGTCATCAAGATCACATTTGGGAATGGAAAGGCGACGACCAGAATGCTTGATTTGGGGGGCCGACGTTAATCTTATGCCTTATTTGATCTATAAGCAATTGGGAATGTGAATCGGTGATGCATGTGCTACAAGTTTGCCCAGCCGCTAAGATTTTGTGGGCCTGACTGCTTCCGGCGGACCATGACCGCGAGTTTTTTCACCAGCCCCTTAAGATCTGGTTGCGAAAAAATTTGGTGAGGACACAGATGGGAATGGTTGGAAATTGGGGTATCCTCTTTGCTTTCACTGCATGGCGAACATGGAGATGGAGGAATGACCGGGTTTTTAACCAACGAACACTAAGTTGCGAGAAGCGGTGCTTGGAGGTTATGCGCCTGACCAAGAATTATGGCTGAGTAGCAGCGACCTTTATGCAGGTTGGAGACACTACTCATGTAACTCGTATGATGGATTGGTGCCCGCCAGATTTGGGTTGGATCAAAATGAATACAGACGGTGCTTATGATATCTCGACGGGCTTGAGTAGTGCTGGAGTACTACTTCCATTCTTTTTTTTTTTAATTATTTATTATTATATATTGAGAGGGCAAGCAATTGAATATGAACTTGACCAAAATGCAATCAACACAATACATCACAAAGTAGTAATGCGCACAATTTATTTAGATTAATGAGTAGTAACGCGCTTGGTATACATGATATATCAAACAAGACTAGAGCTCATCATTCACGTCATAATAATCCTCTACTGTCTGACAATCCCCCTTGGTGAACGAAACGTTGTTCCATTCAATATCATACACCACGTTAAAATTCTGTTGCATCAATGTCCCAAGAATGGTGGTCGTAACCCCAAGGACATGCTCGGAAGGCAAGATGGCCAGACAAAATGTTCCATTATGCGTCTGCTGAAACACACTATCGGCCTCCATCTCCATGACCGCCCCACCCCGGAACACAAGTTTCATGGTCGGGAACCCGTTTGTTAGATCTCTGGTGACGACCCCGTTGTAGCAAAACCTCGTCACCTTATTTCGGTACGTGATGGAAGTATTTGGGGTTAGACCGAGGCTTTCAATTAGGCGGGTATATACGGTCTCGATGTCAATCACAACATCGAATGGCATAAAGCTGAGACTCAAACCCGTGTCCAAAATAACCCCACCATCACTGTCCTCGGAGGTGTTTCTCGTGAAAATCAGCGGGTCGAGCTCAAACAACCTCTCGCCAACCATAAGTATTTCCATGTTTACATAGTATCTGTCGTCTTCAATGACCAACGGTGTTGTAAAAACACTCCCATGTACAATGTTGTTGCTCCCTATGACTAATGTGCTATGGGGATAAGACCTGTTGCTTATCTTCCCAAAACAATAAGAGAACCTGCTGGCATTGTACTGTTTTGGGAGAAGAAAGCCATCCCATACGGAGGCCGGAGTAAGATCGGCCTCGATGTCATCCAATTGAAACCAACGGGTACTGTTGGTAGTCAGATAGAGTCCGCGGGATATTGAGCTCTTTAAGGATATCTCCGCAAGTTCTTCCAGACTTAGATTGGGATCATAAAGTGGGGAGTTTGTGGACTGATGGTGTGTGAGTCTGGCCAGTAAGATTTCAGGATTCGAAGCTTGGGAAAAGGTTGAGAAAAAAAGAAGAGAGATTATTTTGCATAAGGACAATAACATGTTGAGATTTTCTTTGTGATGCATGATTGATATTAATTGTTGTAAGATAAGATATCTGAGGCTCTAGGATAGTTTTTGGAGTTGATTTAGAATTTAGACAGAGCTTAATTATATAGACATCAGTGGATTCATTTGTTCCCTCGAATTCATATGCCAAAAGGAACCATTTTATATCACTTTTTTCTATTTTAGATGAAATAATAATTCTCAGAGGAAGTGTACATTAGTAATAATTCATTTGTTCCCTCGAATTCATATATCAAAATCAGAATAAATTTAAACAAGTACCAATCTCTGTGAAGATGATTCAGTTAAGATTACTAAAATTTGATTGCATTTTAATTGGGTACAAATTCAATTTTTATAACAAAAGTTTTGAGACAAAATTCAATTTGTTGAGATTACTAAAATTTGATTGGATTCACTTTTTACTAAGAGCATCTCCAATGTGACTTTTGACATTGTAAAAATTTATCCATATCATCAACTTTTGAAAGTTTGTTACTAATTTATTCTCCAATGCATCTTGTCATTAGCTCTTTCATGATGATGTGGATGACATTTAATATTGACAGTGTTGAACTCACTTTCTAATATCTAACACCATGTTAAACATGATGACTCATCAATTCACTTTATATTTGGTTTATTTTTTTATTATTCTTGTATCAATGAATTATTATAATTGGTCCACCTATACAAATAACTTCCTATCAAATTGATGCATTGGAGATATTAGTTTGATTCAAATTTTTAGTCTTTTAATATTATTCCTATGTGGATTAACATTACAATCATTAATTGACATGTGTTAAAAATCATTGTCTTTCAAAAGCATAACATTGGAGATGCTCTAAAGATGATTCAGTAAAAATTTTGTTTTGAGACAAAATAATATTCAATTACTATATAATGTTTTCTGTATTTCAAATTATTATTTTTAATCAAAATATATATGTATATATATCTAAAAATATTTATTTAATTTTATCATAATTGTAGTGGCTAACAGAAAAAATATAATTTTATCATAATTATATACTTTTAAATGTAATAAAAATATAAATTTAAATATATTTATAAATTCAAATATATTTAAATTTATATTAGTATTATATTAAAAAATAAAACGGTAGTGTACATTGTTGAAAGAATTTTCTTTGGGAATTTTTTACTATTTTTTTATGATTGTTTTTAATTTTTGTATTTTTGTGTTTGCTGCTATTCACTGTTTTTTGTCATTTTATTTTTCATCTCCAAACTAAATTTATATCAAAAAAAGGGTGTCGTACTGTGGTGAAAGAAAGTTTTTTAAGGGCATTTTTTACTATTATTTACGAGTATTTACGCTCTCTCGCAGTGAGTGCGCGTGGTTGGCTGGGGCTTCGCGAGCAGTCTCGCAAGTCGCGATTGACACTTCGCAGCGAGTGCCTTGTGCGCAATCATGTCTCGAAAATAGCTCAGAATGACTCGGAAATGGTCAGGATGGTTCGAATAACAGTCGAACATGGCTCGTCATCCCAATTCAAATATTGTGGACCTAAACATGCCAAAATACGCAAGAGAATACGGCAAAATATAAACACACATAACGAAAATGAAAATACATAAAACACAACAAAATGGACAGGTTGACACTAAAACGAACCTAAGAACGACTCGACTAAAGCACATAAAACACTATAAAATACCACAAAAACATAACAAACAAAGAGATACTTATTAATATTTATAAATTAAAATATTTATTAAATAATATTTATAAATTAAATATGGAATCAATATGTAGCCAAAACTAATAATTTGGATTACGAAGGTTGGCTCCACTAACTAATCAATATGATGAAGGATGTTTGGGGTTCCGGGTGACGGCGCGCATGGAATTTAATGACCGATCGGTCAAAGATGATCGATTGCCAGTGTTTGTTGACTAGTTGGAGTTGAATGAGGGGTTTTGCGGGAATACAAAGGAGGATTGTATCCGCTAGTAAATCGTAATTATCGGCGACTATTTCGGCCGATGATCGGGAGTCGAGTCGTTTGTGTTCCATTTTTGTGTTTAGAAGGATTTAGGGTTTTAAAATTTAATTATGTGTTTTTATTTGTTCACGATGATTTATGACTATTGATATAGTTGGGTTTATATAGAGGTGGTTGGTAATTTCGTATGCTTTTTAAGTATGAAATTTTTCGAATTCGCAACTTCATTCGAGCCCGGGTGATGCAGCAGACGAGCAAAGTGAATATTTTGAAAATTATTGAAGAAAGTTTTCCTTTTGAGAGGGCATTTTTTCTTTGGCGTTGGCGTCGAGTTTGACTGCGTCGGTCTCACGGGCGATGACAATACTTAATATGCTCGGGAGAAGTTTTGAAATTTGTTTCGAATCTAATTTGGATAGTGTATCAATCGTAACCGAGTTCGAATCGAATTCGAGCTATTATTAAATTGCAAATGTGATTGAATGTGGATTTTTTTCCTAAATGTTTTTTGATAATATTCTGAAACATCGAATTTGAGTATTTATTGGCCTGATTTATTTCCTTATTTTCGGATCAATGAATTGCAGTAAAGAGAGGATGTCAGGATGATGTGCATTTTAGTCTTTGACTTTGGTCACATTAAGGTAAAAAAAGAAAAAAAGGATAAAACAAATCCAGTGATTGGGAAATGAATTCCGTTGTATAACTCCCGCTCAGGACCAAAGGGAGAAATTGTTAAATTAAAGGCACAATGGAGGGACATTTATTGGAGGAAAATGGAATTTCTTTAGTTGCTATTGGATAGAATTTTCGTGTCTGAGATATTTCTTTTCCCTCAATCTTATGAATCTATATCTACTAGTATTCGACCTGTGCATTTGCACAGATATAAATAAATTATTGTGAGTCTGTATGCATATAATGATTAATTATTTTTCTTTCACTTTTTTGCAGACTAAATTTACAATTAAGAGTGTTGAATTTTTTTTTTAAATTGCGTTTATCTGATTGGATATAATGTATATTCTGGTACGTCTTTTATTTGTGAATTATTTATTATTTATTTAGAAATTTCAAATATATTTTTTATTTTTTTAAAAAAAATTAAATGTAACAACAATAATAACATCTAATCACATTATACGGTCAACACATTATATGGTCAACTGTCATTAATAAAAAATTTAAAATAATTTTTGTAATTTTGAAGTGATGAGTAATATATATATATATATATATATATATATATATATCAAGAGGTTGTTGGAAAAATATATTAATAGAAAGTTTGACCAAATAAATATAATGTTTGACTTACTATTAATAGAAAGTTCAAAAAAACACATGTGAATCTTTAGTAACAAAATCTAATTCTTATTTTTTTGTTAACAAAATTGGAGATTCTTATGGCAAAATTTGAATCCCATATTTTTCGTATCATATTTTATTTTTTTACCAAAATTTAAATCATATCTTTTTTGGTAACAAATTTGGAAATTCTTATGCAAAAAATGTGTCAATTATTTTTTAAAACAATTCTAAATACAAATTAATATAAAAACCGTGGAAATTGGATACAAATTTAGAAAGCAAATAGTTTAATACTTAACCAATTCTTCCAATCTTATTGAATAATTTTTTCTTTCAAAAAATTGTGTAAATTGGATAAAGCCACATGTAATTTTTATTTTAAAATAAAACTGATATTTAGACGGGATGTACATTCCAAATTATGTCCACACTTCTTGGTAACAAAAGCGGTTCATCATTGATATTTAAAGTCACCTTATCCAATTATTTAGGAAAAATTTTGTGCAACTTTTCAAAATTTAAATGCATCGATTTTTTTTGGATTCTTATGTTTTTTCTCAACCATGTTTTACCGAGATTTTGGTAAGTTCATATCATTTTTTTTTTGGTTAAGTTCATATAATTTTCTGTAGGAAAGAGATAGTTGCATAAACATTAACAATTTATTTTAATTTTTTATTAGAATTATTTTCAATTCAATTTGTTTGGTACAAAAATTGGTGCAATGTTAGGAAAATTTGGTTGCATTTTTAGGAAAAATTGATGATTTTTTTTATTTAGTTTAAAAAAAATCGGATCAATTTGTTTGATAAAAAATCGGTTTATTGGTAAGAAAATCGGTTGCATTTCCGGGACTAACTAATGATTCAATTTTTCTTAATTGAAATTTAGAATTAGATTTAAAATAAATAATGGATGAAAATTCCTACAAAATTTTACTTTTTTTTCTACTTTAATTTTGTTTAATAAATAAGATCCTTTAATTTTTTTTTTTTTAAATTTGTGAACTAATAATTAATAATATGCAATTATAGCCGAAACGAGTAAACTCTTTCTGCAAGACGAATATGTTAGTGTTATATACTGAAAGCTTGACTTTGGATGATATCACACTTTTACTTTTTATGAATGAGAATCATGTTAGATTAAACAAGTTCTATGTTATGTTGTTTTGCGCTTAGATAGAATGGGTCGTCATCGGGCGCAAAAGATCATTCTATCAGTTACTTGCGAAACAAGAATTGTGGATCACAACCTAGATGGAAATGAACACTCCATCCGAACGGTTGTAGTGTCAACGGTACAATTGTTCTTGACTGATTAGTTGCACTAGTACATTTATGTATTGAACAAGATTACAGAGAGGAGAAGTTCATTTTATACTGATCGTCGTAAACGAACTAGGCCTCGGTTAATTACTGCATTCTCTTAACCCGTAAGATATTAAATAGGTATATATATGCAATACATATTACTTTGATTTACTTGAGTGAGGTTCAATTCGCTGTATTAATATTTCTACTGTCTTGGGTAATAATGTTGTATGTATGATGTGCTTTTATGATATTTACGGTCACCTTGTACTTTTAATTTGATGATGTCCCCGAAGTGAGTTCATGAATGATTGTTATGCTAAACCCTACAGGTGGATTAAGTTCCGGCATAATAATAATGTGATGAACGAGCGCTAGCTTCGGTGAAATAATAATATATTAATTAATTATTGATTATCAGTAATCAAATTAATTAATTGACATTATATCTTTAACATGGGTATGTAATTCGAGTAATTATTATTGGAGTCTCAAATTTAATTTGGGATAGGAAAAGAGAGTGCAATAATATTATATTTGTGGACCATAATATTATTTAAGTAGTTGGAGGGGTGGGCTTGGCTCACAGTTAGTCCAATACTTAAGAAGCCTTATTCATGTTCTCCTAAGGATCCCTATTGTAGCTCTATATATAAATCGTTAAGCCCATGAAATAGACACATAAGAGATCAGAACTCTTCTAACGTGTAATATACACGCTTCTCTCTCTCTCTCTAGAATTCCATTCGAGCTTCATCTTCTTCTTGTTGTTCCACCGATACAAGTTGAAGAGGTGTTTTGATTAATACAGCAGAAGACCCCGAGGTAACCGAGACACTGTGATTATCTACCGGAGTCGACGAGTCATGACCCGAAGCCGCGACCCGCCGACTGGACGACCGCTGCGAGCAGCCCGTGACCCGCGATGGACCGCTGGCGACCACCCTAGCCCCGCGACGCCATGATCCCACCACCTCCTCTATCCCGGCTTCTCCTATTGCTGCTCCTGGTCAATCCGAATCAGTCAGATTCAGAAAAATTTTAAGCCGTAAATTTTCTACGTTAAACCTTTAGATCCATTGCGCATAGGTTTACGTTTGTTATTGAATTCGTGAGTTTTATATAACGAGATCCTCATAGATCCAACAGTTGATGAGAAGGAGGTTGAGGAGGAATTAGATGTGGAAACGGATTTCGGGAAGAACAAAGTGATGACCGAGGAAAAAAGAAAAGAGAAATCGAAGATGGATGCACGTGAGGCTTTACATAAGATGGCTACACCTTATCGACCACAGGTCCCTTATCCGAGTCGTCTACAAGATACAAAGAAGAATCGTCAATTCAAGATCTTTTTGATATGCTCTCGAAGGTGAACGTGAATCTCCCCTTACTAGACGTTACTCGAAACATACCAGCGTATGTGAAATTCTTTAAAGACTTAGCATTAAAGAAGAGGAGCTTCAAAGATAACGAGAAACTAATGATTTCCGAGGTAGCCTCTACCACTATACCACGGAAAGAGTGCGACCCGAGAATCTTCGTCATCAAGATCACATTTGGGAATGGAAAGGCGACGACCAGAATGCTTGATTTGTGGGCGCCTTATTTGATCTATAAGCAATTGGGATTGTGAATCGGTGATGCATGTTCTACAAGATTTCCCAGCCGCTAAGCTTTTGTGTACCTGACTGCTTCCGGCGAACCGTGACCGCGAGTTTTCTCACAGCCCCTTAAGATCTGATTGCGAAAAAATTTGGTGAGGACATGGATGGGAATGGTTGGAAATTGGGGTATCCTCTTTGCTTTCACTGCATGGCGAATGTGGGGATGGAAGAATGACCGAGTTTTTAACCAACGGACACTAAGTTGTGAGACGCGGTGTTTGGAGGTTGTGCGTCTGGCCGAGAATTATGGCCGAGTAGCAGCGACCTTTGTGCAGGTTGGAGCTGTTGGGTAGTGCTGGAGGACTACTTCGAGACGATTTGGGAAGACGGATAGAGGGTTTTCTTATGAACATTAGATATTATACCATTATGGGTGCCGAGCTTTAGGGCATTTTTCAGGGACTGCAGTTGGCCTGGGATTTGGAGTTTCGTCAAGTGATTGCTGAGATTGAAAACCAGTACGTGTGTGACGAAAATGGTCCTTGGTACCGAGGACAATTTCAGAGCCCATGAAACGCTTGTCAAGGCTATTTGGAGCATGGTTCAACGGGACTTGAGCATTAGGACTCAACACGTGCATAGGGAGGCTAATGTCGCAGCTGATGGCGAGCCTAGCGTCAACGTCTTCGATCGAGTTGCAGAGAGTTTCTTCTCCTCCATTAGGTTTGGGAGCCTTACTTGAACACGACATTATTGGGGTGTCCTACCCCCGTTGAGTTCTAGCATAGTTACCTCCTTAAGCCTCCGACCTCCTTTATTGTANAAAAAAAATTGTTCTATGATAATATTTTAAAATATTTTATATACATCGTGCAATACAACTTTCATCAAATTAGATACTATAAATTTTGTTAATTCATATCAATGTACTTTATTTATTTTTTACTAATTAAGATACACAACTCTAATTCATTTCAATGTACTTTATTTGTTTTTTACTAATTAAGATACACAACTCTTAATGGTTATACGTGTAACATAAATCTTGAAATATAAATACATAATAAAATGACATAAAAGTATAAGGCAATATCTTTTAACAGTAAAAATATAGTTTTGGGTGTCGAATACGATGAAACTAGTCGAACAATTACACACTATTTATATAGATTAATCAGTACTAATGCAGCGCTATTTATTTATTTAGATTAATTAGTGGTAACGCGCGCGCGCGGTATACATCAAACTATCGAACTAACATTACAGCTCATCATGCACATCATAATATTCTTCTACCGTTTTACAATCCCCCTTGTTGAACGATAAGTTCTTCCCTTCAATATCATATGCAACGTAGAAAGTCTGTTGCATTAAATTTCCGAGAATGGTGATGGTAGCCCCCCCCAGGGCAGGCTCGGAAGGCAAGATGGCCAGACAAAAGGTTTCGTTATGCGTCTGCTGAAATACGCTATCGGCCTCCAGCTCCATGACCGCCCCACCCTGGAACACAAGTTTCATGGTCGGGAAACCGTTTGTTAGATCTCTGGTGACGACCCCATTGTAGCAAAACCTCGTGAGCTTATTTCGGTACGTGATGGAAGTATTCGGCGTTAGAGCGAGGCTTTCAATTAGGCTGGTATATGCGGTCTCGAGGTCGATCACAACATTGGATGGCATAAAGCTGAGAGTCGAACCGGTGTCCAAAACAACCCCACCAGTGTACTCGGAGCTGTTTCTTGTGAAAATAAGCGGGTCGAGCTCAAACAAGCTCTCGCCAACCATAATTGTTTCCATGTTTACATAGTATTTGTCCTCGAGGACCAAAGGTGTCAAATTACCCCAAAGCTCAACCTTGCTCCCTACGACCAATGTGCTATGGGGATACGACCTGTCGCTTATCTTCCCAAAACAATAAGAGAACCTGCTGGCATTGTACTGTGAGATAAGAGAAAGACGGAGGTTACCTAGCCCGAGGACTCCGTTAGTAAAGAGATCGGTATTTCTTGAGCAGCCAAAGATGAGGTTGGTGAGAGAATCGTTACTGGTCTTTCCGAATTCGAATGTTTCTCTACGGAGGAATCCCCTAGTGTAATGCATGCTGCCATACATTACGTAGTAACCGCAACCTTTTCTATTGCACTTTACAGAGGAAAAGTCTATTATAACTGGACCTGAAGCATGACAGATATCAGTTGTTGTGCAGTTTTCCATCTGGTGTGTCGTGGAGTCCTTGGGATCAAATAAAAGCTCCGGCACATTGAGAAAACACGGCACACAATTGATCCAGATCAGACTGCTCCCCGTGTCCATGAACACAAATTGCTCAACCCCATTGGACCCGACTCGCATCCGGACAAGAAAGCCGTCCTTTACGGTGGCCGGAGTAAGATCGGCCTCAATGTCATCCAAGTGAAACAAATTGGTAGTCAGATAGAGTCCGCGGGATATTGAGCTCCTTAAGGATATCTCCGCAAGTTCTTCCACACTTAGAGTGGGATCATAGAGTGGGGAGTATATGGATTGATGGTGTGTGAGTCTGGCTAGTAAGATTTCAGGATTCGAAGCTTGGGAAAAGGTTGAGAAAAAAAGAAGAGAGATTATTTTGCATACGGACAATAACATGTTGAGATTTTGTTTGTGATGCATGATTGATATGAATTGTTGTAAGATAAGATATCTGAGGCTCTAGGATAGTTTCTGGAGTTGATTTAGAATTTAGACAGAGCTTAATTATATAGACATGAGTGGATTCAGGATTGAAACATGTTTAGTCAGTGTGAAACTGGGGACTTGCTTGGTACCTACTGTTAGTAGAGTGTGCAATTTCATTATTTCACTTCTTTCCTCTGGTGTTCTTGTAAGGAGAACTTAGTTTGTTAGATGTAGATGCTCACGCTCCGTGATTGGATCCAAAAGGAACCATTTTTGTTATCACTTTTTTCTATTTAGATGAAACAATAATTCTCAGAGGAAGTGTACATTATTAATAATTCATTTGTTCCCTCGAATTCATATATCAAAATCAGAATAAATTTGAACAAGTACTGATTCAGTTAAGATTACTAAAATTTGATTGGATTTTAATTGGGTACAAATTCAATTTCTATAACCAAAGTCTATAGATATTTGCAAATTTGGTCATGTGGGATGGGTCAGTTGCAAAATTGGTCCATAAATTGTAAAATCAGTTATTTTTAAATTTTTATTGCACATTTGTTTCCAACCCCATCAAAACTAATGGGATGGTTCTGTGCACCGTTATCGTTAGGTGAAAAAGAAGAAAATGTAAATTTAGTCCCATAAGATTGATCATATTGCAAATTTGATCTCAAATGTTGCAAAAATGGTTCTTTACTATTTTTTTTGTTGCAATTTTGATGCCGTAAATATACAATAATATTTTATAGTAAAAATTTTGTTTTGAGACAATAATATTCAATTACTATACAATGTTTTATATTTTTTAAATTATTATTTTTAATTAAAAAATATATATATATAAATATTCAATTAATTTATCATAATTATAGTGGCTAACGAAAACAGAGATTATAATTTTATCGTAATTATATACTTTTATATATAATACTAATATAAATTTAATTATATTATATATATATAAACTCAAATATATTTAAATGTATATCATTTATTATATAAAAAAATAAAACAGTAGTGTACATTGTTGAAAGGAATTTTTTGGGACTTTTTAACTATTTTTATGACATTTTTTAATTTTTTTATTTATTGTGTTTGCTTCTATTCACTGTTTTTTGCCGTTTTATTTTTCGTCTCAAAACTAATTTTATATCAAAATTTGGTGTATACATAAAATGGTGTTGTACTGTGGTGAAAGAAACATTTTTAGAGGCATTTTTTACAATTATTTACGAGTTTCTGTATCTTCGCATTTCACGTGTAAGTTGTACACAGAATTTTGGTCGTTCTTGTTTTTTTGTCTCAAAATTAAATTTTTATTATCACAGTTTGTTATATACAGAAAACGGTGGTGTATTGTGGTGAAATATAGCATTTTAGGGTTTTTTCTGCCATTATATGTGAATTTTTTTATTTTTGCATTATTGCGTGTGAAGTTGTACACAAACATTTGGTCCTTTTTTCGTATCAAAACTATATTTTTACTATCACAGTGTGTTGTATACATACAATGACGGTGTAGTGTGATTAAAGAAAGTTGTAGGGGCTTTCTGTACTATTATTTACGAGTTTTTTATTTTCTAATTTTCGTGTGTAAAGATGTACACAAGCCTTTTTTTTGTCGAAAAACTAAATTTTTACTATAAATGATTGTTAGATACTTTCGACATTAAAATTACAACAAAATAAATAGTAAAGGGTCATTTATGCAACATTTTGGACCAAATTTGCAATACGGTCAATCCCGTAGGACTAAATTTATAATTTTCTTTTTTTCAACCTAACGACTAATATCGCACGGAACCTTACCACTAGTTTTGACGGGTTGGGACCACATTTGCAACAAAAGTTAGAAAATGACCGATTTTCTAATTTGAGGGACCAATTTTGTAATAGGCCCAATCCTACATGACCAAATTTGCAATTTTTTCCTAATTTTTTTTTTCATACTTGTTTCATCTTAATAAATTTCAGCAGGCTAAGATTCATAGATTAATCATATTTAGTAGATTTTGTTAATTGAAATGTTAGTTTGAATAAGATAAAAACGGAGAATCCAACATATATGATTACTAATGAAGGGTTGGCAGTCAACTTTGAATATTGCTTATACTAGACCAACATTTTGCATTTTTATGATGGCACCAAGAGGCTACCACTAGTTGAATTTATATAATAAATTGATTGATTAATTTCTAGACTTTTTGAAAATTTTACAAAAAAAAAATACCACGTTTCTTAATTTTAAAATTATTAGGCGGGATTTTAATTTCTATTTCAAGTAAATATAAACATATATATATATATATATATATATTACTAAAATTTGTTTGGATTTTAATTTGGTAAAAATTAAATTTTTATAATCAAAGTTTATTTGTTTTCCAAATTTGTTTCATCTTGATCAATTTTGGTATCCTAAGCTTCATAGATTAATCATATTTAGTACATTTCGCTAATTGAAAACTTATTCAGAAGAAGATCAAAACAGGAAATCCTGCAAATATGATTACAAATGTAGAGCCGCTAGTTAAATTTGAACATTACTTAGACTAGGCAACATTCTGCATTTTTAAGATGGCACCAAGAGGCCACCAGTAGTTGAATTTTGTTTTTGATTAAATTATTTATACCACATAGATGTGTACGACTTTTAGTATAAACATGTCATTAGCTTTGTGTGTTGTACCTTATTCTTTTATCTTATATGTACACCTTTAATTAAGGAGGTTCTAATTTCTAGGTACTTAGTGAGATTAGTGAAGTTGATTAACTTTATATGGAAATTACTTAGAAAATTCTTTTGGTTATTTAGTGAAATTGGTGAAGTTGACTTATATAAGAAAACTTCTAATTTATTTATTTAACTCTAGTTGTATTTTATTCGTGAGATTAGTGAAATTAATTTGGTCGAACTCATTTACTCAGGCAATATTGGTTGAACTACTTTATAAATTTGGGCAATAACGTAGTATTAGTAATATTGGACAACCTCATTTAGTCATTTACATTTTACCAGTTAATTGTGATTTTTTCTCTCTACCATTCATTCTCCGATGCGTTTGTCGTGAGATCCCGAACACTATCCATATACATATGATCCAGTGAAGACAACTAATTTTTTTTATTTAATTTTAATGAAAATAATTGTTAAGAATGAACCCAAAAAAAATGTGTCTAGTTTTTGTTAAATAATGTTATTTTCTAGGCAACCAATAATTGACGAGATACCAACATCAATATAGAAAAACAATCACATCTGTTGATTTTATGTCTCCATTATTAAATTTCTTTCCTCCCCTGGATTATGAACATGTTACCATTAATTTTGTTAAGTAATATTATTCTCTAGCCAACCAATAATTTATGAGAACGGCCATCATATAGAAAAACAATCTCATCTATTGATTTTATGCCTCCATTATTAGATTTCTTCCCTCCCCTGGATTATGAACATTTTACCACTATATTGATAAATTATCTTAACTAGTACAACAAAATGTGAAAAAAGTAAAATTCTTATTATAAATTAAAAAATATAAATAATTAATAATGAAATATTTTATTTAATATTATTTGGAATTCTATAAAATATTTTTACGGAGTATTATTTATTTTATTTAATAAATTTATTTTTGTCAAAATTAAATAGATTAATTAATTTATTCGATAGTAAATAACGCCCGTGAATATCACGGGCACTTGAAAGTTAATATTTGTATCAAAATAAAGAAGTGAAGAAATATATATTCTAATAGTAGAATGATAATAAATTAAATATACCACTAATAACTAAAAAATAACAAAAATAATTATTTAAAATAATACTTATATTTTATACTCAAGTTGTTAAAATGATAATTTCTTAACATACACACACGTGCGCTAACGTGATAATTTTATTTTGATTTTTTTTTCAAGTTTGCCTATATCGTAATTATACTTTATATTTATACAATTTTCCTTCTTGATTTAATATTTTTTAAAATATCTTCAACTTTATAATATTCAAAAATTTAAAATATTATGTGTATGCGTGTAATATTTTAAACTTTATGAAATAAAAAATTTATTTTCTAATTTTAATTATATATTTTTTTTTTTCACGATCATAATGTTTCTGTGTAGTCTTTATTTAAGTCGAGACATAAACTTTTAGAATATTATTTTTTTACTAATCCGATGTTCATACTTAGTTTATTTATTTTTTTCTGAGTAAAAATAGCTATATCTTGGTATGTTAATAGAAATAATTTTTTTGTACTTTATAAGATAAAATATAATTTTATTTGATATATTTTCATCTAGTTTGGTAAATAAATTTATATTTTATTTATAAGGCTATATATCACTATTTTATATTTTGTATATATAATATAGATGTCAAATCGAAGAACGTTAAAAGATAATCAATTTGATATATCATATATAAAAATAAATACAAACCATAAGAGTTTATAAAATTTTAAAAATAAGAAGAATAAACATTTATAATAATTGATGTATGAATTAAATAAGAAAATAAAATTAAATATATGGTAATGGAGGAAAAAGAAACTTAAAATAGTTAATGATAAGTAATTATAAAATAAAAGATGAGATCAATTAGGATTTAATATGAACTATTACAACACATGTGTATTACACGGTGCTTGTTAAAAAATGAGTCCTAAATTTGAAAATTAATGAGAAAAATTATTCTAAATTTTATTCACTTTTTTACATAATATTGGTTGGCTAGAGAATAACATTACTTAACAAAATTAATGGTAACATGTTCATAATCCAGGGGAGGAAAGAAATTTAATAATGGAGACATAAAATCAACAGTGAGTGTTTTTCTATATTGATGTTGGTAGCTCCTCAATTATTGGTTGCCTATTGGCATCAATTCCTTAGAGCATCTCCAATGTGGCTTTTGACATTATAAAAATTCATCCATATCTTCAACTTTTGAAAGTGTG